CCAAAAACAATCTTTTTTGAATAAGAAAAAATACATACTAGTATATAATATACTGAATATTAATAGATTTTCAAAATATTTTTCAATTATTATTTTATAAACATAGTTTGTAGTCCAAATTACTATAACATATGTTTGTACATTAACGCAACATTTGCAATTGATTTACGCAAACCGATTTCAATTTACATATTTAATTATGTTTCTTTGCACCCACAACGCTTGATCTTTTAAAGCGATTAAAGAAACAAACACCTGCGTTTCTAAGTTCAAAATTTCACCGTCTTCATGTTACGATGTTTAATTCTGCTCAAGTCGATGTCAGGGTACGTGGACGGTTGCTTGAACTTGACAGTACCGTGAAAGAACTGGAGTCGGAAACATTTTTAATTTTGCAGTTTTGGACTTAGGGGATCCTATTTCTCTTTGTCATTCCCGGAATTAAAAATAAACATAACTTATTTTTGTAGGCTATCAAATAACAGGATGTGCAGAGATGTAAAGAAACATTTGTCAATAAGCATTATTTTTTTAAATATTTTTATGTGTATCTGTATTCATCAGATCTAAACAAATAATTGAAACTCGTAGACCCGGTTTCGCGGTGTTCCTTGCCGGTGATTCGGTATTGATGAGGTTTGTTAGTGGCTGTGTTCATTAATCGACGCCTTTGCTTGTTGATCTTTGTTATTATTGCAAATGTAAGTCGTTATTAAAGTGAATCAAGCTATAAATTTATTACAGTAGTAGTAAGAAAGAATTATAATATTCTAATTACATTATTTGTACTTTTCATATTTTAAATATTGATATGATTTTATCGGCATCATACATGACCTTTAAAGACAGGAGATAAAATATAGTCAAGCTCAGAATGTGGTTAGTATGTGTTAGTATGTTTATGTTAGTATTTATTCCCAGTCAATCCTATCATTTAGCAAGTGGAAAATGCCCTGTCGGTCATACTGTTTTAAATTATTGTTACGTTTTTTGCTCTAGAAGTCAAGAAATATTTGACCTATTATGAAACATATCACAAAATATATAGTAAGAACAATTATTGTTTGAAGTAAAAAAAATCAAAATTTCTTGCATGAAAGAAATATGGAAATAAGTTGCATTAAAATCGAGTAACGCATATACGCTATTCTTTGTAAACAGATAAACCCTTTTTATAAAACCTCACCTGTTAAGTCCCCTCAACTGGCACTCTTAGATTTTAAAGCTTTTGGAATAATATAAATATAACTAAACAGGTAGACAACCATTCTGTCTAAAATGGTTATAAACATAACAAAAATATCAAATATAGTCGAGATACAACAAACAATATATGTAAATCGATATCATGTTGGGTAAGGGTGTCAGGCTTTGTCTAGAATGAAATATTTAACATGATATATTAACAAGACAATTATACTGTTTTGATAACGTTACTGTCGATTCTCGAAAGAGTTGTGACATGTGTTGTAACATGAAATGTTTCTGTTATTTAATACACATGAATATTGTACGTTAAAGGAATAAACTGTTCCGGAATAAAATATTGTTTAGCTATTTCAGAAAGGATATTATTTGTTACGTAAGGATTTCGTGTATGCGCCATTCACTTGAAACGCAATTTATATTGATTTCATACAAGCATTTTGAAAGTATCTTTTGAAAAATCCAAACAACATAATTTTTGTACTTACTGTAGATACACTTTAAATAGCTTGAAACACTTTAACTAAAACTTGTACTTAAAAAGTAGATCTAGTGGTATTGTAATTTCCCATCTATCTTATATATTCAAACATTAACTGCACCTTTTGAAGAAAATAAACAGGTTTAGATATAGACATCGTTATTGCAACGTTGAACAGCATGAATTTATAAATAACTGGGATATTTGTTTCTACAACCTGATACGAAGAATGCAATTTAAGAAATACTTACTAGATTGATAAATTGATCGCACAGAAGGCGGTTCGTGTAAGGTCTCTCTCAACCAGTTAACCTTGACACTTACAATATGACTCTTTGACTGTCCTTGAGACTTTAACCGCCCGCCCAAATACACCAAACAAAACCAACACAACGACAACAAACAAATAAAGAAAACACAACAACAAAACATCAAACAAAAAAAAAAAAATAAAAGAAAAATATGGCATTTACTCACCCGGTAATCATTTAGCACTTAATATATATCGTGGGAAGACATATTTTATTTACTGTAGAACGTACGTTAAAAAGCACATTTCTGGAAACTGCATTTCTATGAAACTGATCAAATTTAATAGTTTTATTTTAAGAGTTAACATACGGCATATGCAGACAACGGCTGTTTTCACTATAAACCATACACTAGGAGAAAAACAAAGAAATCTCGTATCAACGTGTTTTTCATTATCACATAACGTTATTATCATTGCAATCAATTAATATTGCACGATATCATTTTATAAGAAACCTAATTTAGTGTACCAAGGTGCCAAATAGCGACTTTTCACAAACCAGAGCCTGAAACCTTTAACGAAATGCGCTTTTGTGCGAGTATTTACTTTAATATTGGAACATTGAAAGTCAGAAAGATCGTTCGAATGCAAGTGCATTTTGTTGAAACTTTTCAAGATTTACTCATCCAGAGCCATAACTTCCCAGTTAGGTCACCTTTGTTTGATTTGTTTGCGTTCTTTGCAATTGTATTTGCTACATCGATGCAGGAGAACTATGAAAACATATTTTTCTTCCTTTTCGCGTTATTCTTTGTTCATGTTATTTTGTTGTTTCTTTTTAAATTCTTTTTTGTTCGTCCAAATACATACTCTTACAATTTATTTACTTCCTACTTATTATGATGCCTTATAAACACCGTGAGAACTTTGTTAAACATTTTATTTTTCTGTAATCTTTATCTTAAAAACGTATATATATGAAAACAAGGAAGTTTTTACCAAAAAAAGATGACAAGAATGTTTAGACAATGCGACATAGATGTCAATATGATATTACATTATTTAAAAATAGTGTATGTTAAAAAGAGTGTAGTCATTACAGCAGTTTTCTCATACCATACAAGTTTGATGTGATTGAAATTGAAATACATGCAAATAAAAATATGTTTCAATATAAATGTTTCATTACATTGTATATGTGTACAAGCATATACTAGAAATTTATATGAGCCGCGTCATGACATAACCAACAAGGTGCGTTTGCGACCAGCATGGATCCATGCTGTTCGCTATCAGTTTCTCTACTTATTATAGGGTTTGTTAATGTTGGTTATATCATGGCGCGGCTATTAACACTCTTCCAAAAGAGTTAGTTTAACTGCAATAAGATATTGCTAAAAAGGTAAAATATTCAGGAACTGTCAACAAAAGAGAACTGAATGAAAACGACCATGAAACACTATATGTAAACGACCAAGAAGCTCTTCATGTTTACGACAAAGGAATACGACATGTATACGACCAAATAATACAACATGTATACGACTGAGTAGTATTACATGTATGCCACCACTGTATACGGTAAAGAAAAAAAATTATATACACTTTATCTTAGAGGATTCATAACATTATTTTTTGAAAGCAACTTGCTTTAAAATAGATTGAGGTTGAAGTCGTAGTAAACAATTACAATACAAAAATAGGCTTAGCGTATTAATGGTTTTTCGTTACCTGTCTTATCTAAAAAATTTCAACTGATTAAAGTTTGGACGCTGCGTAATATATTTCATATTAAGATAATCTCCTTTAAAAATTCATGTTTCAGAAATGCCAGTATATTAAACAAAAGGTGCAATTGAACGTTACACTATTGTTTGTCATCATGATATTAGAACTAATTTAATAGAAGTAAGGTTCAAAATGTCTATATATGCAGACACGAACTTAAAACTGAGTACTTTAATGCAAACTTGGGGCGTCCGTGACCGAGTGGTTAAGGTCGTTGACTTAAAAACCACCGTTGTGAGTTCGAATTCCAACAGGGACTTTGGATTCCTTCAAGTGAGTTAGCTATCCAGTTAGCTTACGGAACGTCGGTGGTTCTACTCAAGTGCCATTTCGTGCCTGAAACAATGCACGGAAGGGCACCTGAGGTCTGCCTCCACCAGTAAAGCTAAAACGTCACCACATGGCCTATACTGTGTCGGTATAACGTAAAACACAATCAAAACAAAACAAATAATGCTAACTTATACCTGTCACTAAGTTTGGTGTCCCTTTCGCTACAAATGAATGTCTATCCGAGAACTAATCGATATCTCAGGATATAACTGAGAGATACAATTCTGCAACTATTCAGGTAAAGCAAGGTAAAATTTTCTTATTTTAAATCGTCTTTTTGTATAATAGCTAATATTGAAATTGGAATTATTTTGTTATCAAAAATAGTGTATATAATTCTATAAATTTTAAACAAATCTGCAATTTCATTTGTCCAAACAAACATAACTTAAAATTCTTAATCACTGAGTGTAATACCGACTCATAAGTAGAATCGGACCAGAGATTGTAGATTGCTAACAACGCGGACGCATTATAATTTATCATAATTCAAATTTAGAAAGATTACACATCAATGATGACATACATTCTCGGATAGTTTGTTTTTGCAAAGCGTTTTCATAGCAATTTACGTCATATTTCATTTGCATCTTTGCCCTGCTTTTCAATGACAATAGTTGAAAATTGCTTATCTCTTTATAATAAGGTTTTATTGTTTGTGATTTTTATTTCTCTTAGAATGTTCATTTAATAAAATAATTGTTGACAAACGAGCCATTAAATATGATGTTATATTTTGTGAACGAACATCACATCATATCCAATGGCACAACACATAAATAATTGTATAATATAATAAACGGATATTTCCCCTGATTGAAAAGAATGTGATTAAACTTGCGTGAAATAGACGGCCACCAACGTATTATTTTGTCTTGCCTCAAATTAAACACACGTTAATCTGACATATAGGTATCAAAGTGTCATAATCTTTTAGGAATCGTATCATGCAGCATAATATGTATTAAGAATAATAATTTCTGTACAAAAACATAATTTGTAAAATGTTAAATAGTTTTTAGGAAAGATGACTGGGAAATATATTTATTCATGTAAGTATATATACATATATCTCTGCATATAAAAATGTTTAAAATTAAAAGTGCTAGATCTAATAGCTCACAAACATTGAAATATTGTGGCATCGGTAAATGAAATTGATAGAAACAACTATGTGTTCAGTGTTCATTTTGTAGCACATACTTTAAAGTACGTTCCATTAAGGCAAGATTTTTTTTTCTCAAAACATTTTCTACTATTTGCAGGTTTTCTTCTATTCTTGTTTCAAGCAGCTGGAAGCAAAGGTTTGTACCATTCCTGACTTTAAATTAATAAAATTAGCGAATACCAAGAAGTAGAATGTTCATAGTCAAATCCGCAAGCAGTTTGGATCAGGCTAAACAATCATTGACAATACACAAAAAATAAGTACATCATCGCAATAAAATACACAGAACTACATTGTATTTGCAAAAATCCATTCAAACAGTAAACGTGATTATTAAACTTCGATTATATAGCATAAATTTTATTTATTACATTTTAAATCGGATATCTCCCTTGAACCCTGGTTTCATCGCTTAGATTTATGATAACCTTATTGTCATAGAAGTTACAGATATCATTTTTATTAAGTATCCATTTGTATTCTGAAACAAACTCTTGAAGTTACTGAAAATCTCTAATAACTTACATCAGCATTTATGATTGAAAATGCTCAAAGAAGGCTCAAAAATATGTAGTACATTCATGAAATGATTTGTGTGAGCCTTGATTGCTTAATATTTTTATTTTGAATTAAAACGGGTCAAAATAGTCAAATGTAGCCCTTGTCGTTTAAAAAGGGGCCAAATATGATTGATTACATAGTAAAAGTCATATAGGTTCATTGCGAGCATAATGCAATGTATGATTATGCACATTAATGTCTCCAATTTTAATTGGCATACATTGTTTGTATACTATGTCATACATACCGTACGGAACAGCAACGCGCACATATAACACACACCGTAGACTGTTTACAATTATTTTGTGTTGTTTTAAATGATTTATCTCTCGTTTCAATGTTCATTATTTCAAAAAAGTAGTTTGATATTACTCAACAATGATAAGTATTTACTTGAATAACTTTTGAACGAATATTGATATTTTGTTTCGCGTGTCTTTTTCCCCGCGCTTCAAAGTTGCTGTTTTTGTTTTACCTAGAAATGTACACTTTTTGTTTAAGGCTTGTCAGATAACTTATAGCAATGTAGATAACCTAATATTCAATAGCTCTCTTATCAATACAGTACAGTATAATTTTTATGTTTTTTTTTAAAAGCGTAATTTTAAATTCCAATAACTGATTGAAATTAAATTTTGCCCAATAGGATGGCAGTGTTTCAAATTAATCCTGGCACATTACTTAAGTACTATATATATTACTAATTAAATTTTGTAAATGCATACTTATTAACACTATACTTGATGAACTTGTCGTCAATTAGAAATTGTATTATAATATAATAAATTATCCATAGGTTCATAGCGGGATACACAGTTGGCTACAAAAATAACCTTCGGCTAAGCGCTTCGGGTCCTATTTATTTTATGTTTTGATCTCCAAACATTGTATATGTTACAAGTTATACTTGTTATAAACATTGTACTATGCTTCATACAAATAAACTTTTCCTATTTGTATTTTATTCCAGCTTTATTTTCTCGTATATATTGTCCTTAACTGGTATATCTGATAGAATAGAAAAAAGTATATAACGTCACAGGAAAATAAGAATAACTGATAATTTATATGAAATACATGTTTTATTTAACACTAATCTTGAAATATTTATTTGAATTTCTTTGATTTGATTTTTCTTTTATTCCCCGTCCGTTCTTAATATAAACAAAATGTGTCTTTCTATTTTTTTAATATTCTATCTTATGTGATGGTTAAACATATAACAGAGACATTATGAATTTTTTTATTAAATTAAAATTATTCTTTTTTTTTTTTTTTTTTTTTTTTTTGTAAACCGATTTCAGCTACATTGGTGTGCAATAAATGTAACAGCAGTGAAAGTTTAGAAAAATGTCATGACGTTATTCAGTGTGGAAACGAGCAAGTATGTGTTTTTGTATCTTCTCTTAAATACTTGTTGGTTAAGTTATAAGAAATAATATGTGAAGCAACGCCCAGAAGTGCTTTGATCATCAATAGATTTTAATGCAATACACATGCGGAGTTTACTTTAAAAAATAATAATCTGAAGTTCAATTTGCATGAAAATGGGTTTGTTATGTACATTTAGTGTTTATTTTATCTGTTACAACGTTTTTATTTTATCATTCAGTTATTAGTAAAGAGTTTATATATTAACATGAATTGTGGGTGTTTTAAATGATGATCTATATACGATTATACAATTTGCAGTCATGCTTTACCGAAATTCAAACCAAGGATGAACAGATTTCATACACAATGGGCTGTACAGATAATCAGGTAACAGTCGATCAAAATGATCCTTGGTTATATAAAACTAAGTAATTTATTAAAGCAGTAACCCTCCAGATTCATGCTAATTTTCATGAAAAATTTAAGATTATGTTTAAAAATATATCATTGTGATGTAACCAAAAGAAAGCAATTTACACATTATTAATGACACTTGGAACCCACGTGAACTACCGACAAAAACAACAGGTTAAAATATGCAAAAAATAGCTCTTACTGAGTTAGTAACGTAGTAGAAATATTATTGTTGATACTTTAAACTCAGTCAATAATCCCACATGACATGTAGATTATTACTTGAATCTTGAATCTTTTTACTTTTCCTAAAATGTCAGTACATTTTTCTCAAATAAGATTGTTTAATTAGTTGCATGTTGCTTGAAATTGGAATACTATTTATTATCTCTATTTTATTTTGTGACACAGACGTCTTGACTACTTACTAGCCTTTTATGAATTGTACATATCCTCAATTAAATTTTCGGTTAGAAACATTAACATTAAACCAAGCAAAGGTCGAAACTGTTTTCCATGGATATACTAATTTTCATTGTTGATCAACGTTTATTGAATCTATGAAATAGACATCTATATAGCTTTAAAAGTCTTGTTTTCATGCTTTAATACTTAAATTGATTACATTGTTACTGAAGTGTCCTAGTGTTTTAACTTACAATATTATATTGCAGAATTGTGGAGAAATTCCAGAATATGATTCAGTTTCTAAGCTAAATTCACTTCCTATCAAGAAATGTTATGAATGCTGCCAAAGTAAAGGATGCAACTATCACCTTTGTAATCATCCAACACGTTAGTAGTTTTATGGTTAAGTTTTCAGAATGAAGACGTTTTTCCATAAAGTCAGGAACATACAGGGAAAAAAACATGTATACCTTTAAAAGGATTAAAATTGATTTCACAGCTACAATTATTTATCAAAACGACTTTATTACTTTCTTCAGTTAACTTAGTTAATATCTGAAAGTTATATGTCTTTGGAAAATAAAACAACACTTTTACAAATCAACAATGATTTATTTTTGTAGCTACCAAAAGATAAACAAATTAAATGTAAGATGTAATCTTAACAATAATTACATAGTTGAATATGAAGGTATTCTCCTTCTTTCTTCGAATAATTTATACCATTTTAGAACTAATAAGTTGCTTATTACGACAACATTAATACCTACATCTTTTGTTTGACTTGCCTGTTTTGCGACAAAGGTTTATTTATGAAACTTTGTTAGCGCTGCAGTAAACGAGTAAACTTGGTTCAACTTTTATATACCTAAAATGGTACATTTGACAAAAAATATGATTGAAAATGAAAAACCCTTTACAAAACAGGCAGATCTAAACGAAATGAAACTAAAAGAGGATAGTATAGTCTTAGAAGACCATGTTATATATAAACCCTTTTCCAGCTTTGATATTTTCTTTTTAGCATCAAAGTGTCAAGATGACAAGAGAATGGATTGTGCAAAACTGAATGAAATGTTTGACATATGTAAAGACATACATGATGCCAAATTAGTTTGTCCTAAATTCTGTAAATTGTGCAAACTAGGTATCAGCTTTTTTATTATTCAGGTCTTTAATAAGAGAGTGTCTTAGAGTCTATTAAACATACACAGTTCATTTGATTGGCCACATTTTATTAACCAAAACATTAACATAATAGCCAAAAATAAGAAACTTTATATTTTGTGACAGTTACTATGCATATTTTGTGTGTGCAAAATCGCATACATAAATTAATGATATAATATCCTTTGACAGTTGATGGTAACTGGGCAGATTGGTCGCAGTGGTCAGCATGTGACGTGACATGTGGTAATGGAAAACATAATAGATTCAGATCATGCACAAACCCAGCGCCGAAATACCAGGGTTTAGAATGTGAAGGAGAAAAGATCGATTCAAAACATTGTCAACGACCACTATGTCCGGGTACTTAATTTTTTCCGTTTCAAAATTGCCATAATAAAAATAGTCTCATCCTGCTTTTTCCTGAATTGAATTGAGAGTTTAGATTTTTCTGCGCAATACTTGCTGCTTATAAAAATGAAACATAATCTCTGCATTTCAAAGAAACTTATATATATTATATTCCGCAGTCCATGGCGGATGGTCCAGTTGGTCTAACTGGAGTGCTTGTCCAGTAACATGTGGAATAGGAATGCAAAAACGGCTCAGAAATTGTTCGAATCCATATCCTTTGCGTTATGGTGACCATTGTTTTGGTGATCCATTGGAATTCAAAATTTGTTTTGAAAAGCTGTGTGATGGTATGCTTTTGAATAACTACTGAACAGAATTAAAAATTGAGTAGCGACATGCATTTCATAGATAGTTTGAATTCATAATACATCTGGTTAGTGTTTATACCATTAAGTTATTTTTACTTCCGCATGGCTACAATGTAAAAATGTATATAAAGGAATAATAATGATAAGGAAACCAAAATATTTATCTGTATCAATACATATATAAACATTTTTTTTAAGAAATCAATAAGAAAAATTGAAATACAACTTATTGTCAAATATGCGAGCGAAAATGATGCCTATTATGAAAATTGATCAGACTAATGTATACATTTTTCATTCTATATCAAGGAGGTGTGTGGGGAAGTTGGGACGAATGGGGATCATGTAGTGCCTCCTGCGATAGTGGTATACGCAAAAGGTCAAGATCTTGTTCAAATCTGGTTGGAACGATATGTAGCGGGAATTCACTTGATGTCCAGCTGTGCAATATACATGATTGTCGTAAGTTTTATCGAAATACCTTATATGATATTTTTATAATTTAACGAAAACACCTGTCATTTTATAACACTTAAACAAGTTTTCTTGTTCTCTATTTTTATGTTATCTAATACTAAGACGCCTCTTGTAGCAGCACAAAAGGTTAACTCGGCAGTATTGCACATTAATCATTTAATCTAATGTTTATTGATCTTGCTTAAATAATTACTCTATTTTCAGTTCCGATTTGTAAAATAACTTGACCAGTGAACGTGATAATCAACTTGTCTCTTTTAAACAAATTAAAGTCATTGTTTCGGAACTTTAGAATCCTTGTTATCATATTGTCAATCCGAAATTAAAGTATACTGTAACTGTTTAAGAAAGATATGATGCTGTACTTTCAAATGTAATTTGATAATGCTTTCAATTAGTTTTCTTAGAGAACTTATTTTAATCCTGTTGTTAATAAATGATTGTGTTTCGGGATGTCAATTTAATGAAAGCAACACATCTAAATTAAAGCTTGTAGAACTTTACCAACTCTTCGAAACGGTGTTTTAAAGCTGCAATTGGAATCATCGTCAAACATAACATATAACATAATATGCAACGATGGATATCAAGTATCAGGTCAGAATTATTCAATATGTGACAAGAAATCCGGTTGGAACGATGCTTCAAATTGTGATACAGTTTCGTGTGGAAAGCCAGTCACACCATCGAATGGACGACTTGTTTTTGCAAGTGGAATCACCTTCAACTCAATCGCAACGTTTGAGTGTTTAAGTAGCTTTAGCGCATTTGGAAACCCAATATCAACATGTTTACGTGATGGGACATGGTCAAAGACTGTAACATGTATTTCTCCCGGTAAGATTTTTTTCTTCAACAATTGTTTGATGGATTAAGTATTAAAATTGATATTTTTTGTTTTTGTTTGTTTGTTTCATTTAACGCCTCTTACAACAGTATCTCAGTCATATAGGCGGGTAGTTTCCTAACCTTCGTTCCTGGAGAGTTACCCCAGTACTAGACTACTTTCTCCGTGCTAAACTACCAAAGCATATCCCGGGGATCGAACCCACGCCAGAGAGGTAACTGGATTAGAAGTCATCGACTCTAACCCCTCGACCACGCAGGCGGTTAAAATCGATATAATTAACTTTCATGTAAAGACCTTAATTTAATAGTATTTCATTTAATATAGTTTGTTTGCGTCAATTACACTTTGTTTAACGAATTAAATACCTTGAGGTGCGTGAATGGTATGCTGGCACGTGCCAATATTTTGATATCAATAATAAATATCTACAAAATGATAGGCGGATTTTACTAATTAATAATATAATTAGAGATATGGAAAATATATTATCTTATATACGATAAAAAAAATATTTAAGTAAATATATGAAATATGGTGAAATACAAAACTGGTGTATCTCTTGATCTATAATTATTTAAAAGATTAAGTCGACTGGACATTAAGGTAGATGTATGCTAATATTACTATACTCTGAAAGAAAAATGAATAAATGAACATACATAAGAAAGTGAAGAAATATTGTGATACTGCTAATACCAATTCATTACAACAATGAAGACGTTAACTTTGCATATGCATTGAGTTAACAAAAACATAATCGTTGCATAGCGTGTATCTCGCAAACCTGTTTTAGTATTCTTTTAAACATTTAATAATTAAACGGATATAAACCCATACGGCTAATTAATACGAAATGCTGACGACTCAGCACCATCAAGCGTTTTATTGTTATAATTTGTGATATGTATTGGTGATGATAAAAATTATAAATTTGAGCAGCGTCACGACAAAACCAACAAGTGGGTTTGTGACCAGCATGGATCGAGACCAGCCTGCGCATCCGCGCAGTCTGCTCAAGATACATGCTGTTCGCTATCAGTTTCTCTACTTGTAATATAGTTGGTAAGCGAACAACATGGATCCTGATCATGCTGCGCGGATGCGTAGGTTGGTCTCGATCCATGCTAGTCGCAAACGCACTATGTTGGTTTTGTCGTGACGCGGCTCAAATTTATTATATACACTGTAAGTAACACTGAAATTTTAAGAAATATCCGTTATGTAAATTTGCCACTGTGGCATTAGTGCCATATGGACACATTTCTAGTATCATATCTTTTATTTATTTATTTTTTTTTTCCAAAGTATCCATGTGTACGAAGAAGACGACCTACAACACGAGCTTTTCAAATGTTGCTCTCGGAAAGCAAGTCAAACTTTCTTCAAAACATTCTTTAAGCACAAGTATGGTAAGATTTTAATTAAATGGTGTGCCATTTGAATTTAAAAATACTTAGGTCTGTTGCATATAACATATACGAAAACGTTTCTTCCAATATTTTTATATCTAAATATCCTTTAAAACACTTTTCTATATACAAGATAGATTCGGGACTGTATATTTCTGTTACAGTACTAAACTATTCTGACATTGATTCAGGAAAGTGTCCCAATTCACACAGTGCTGCTGATGTTATAATATACATTGCTTTTATGTTCCAGACTGACGGCAGATATGATACTTACGTACATACGTTATTCGATCTTAATCCATTCGCCGTTATTGATTTAGGACAGCAATATGCTATAGTTTCTTTCTATGTGGTAAATAGTAAAGACTGCTGTGGTATGTTGTGTTTAGATAACAATAGTTAATTAAAAAAAATTCAAGATTATTTAAAAGCTGAAAAGCTTTTCAATACGTTTTGAATAAAAAACATGTTGAAAAGAATAATTGTTTTAGCCTTTTACTGTTTTAATTGGTGCGGACCCTTAACAACTAGTCTTTATTTGCATGTATGAATGTGACTACTGCAGCAAAATACCAAGTAACAGCAAATTACCACTTTTATGATCAAAAGATAAGTGGATCTTCTTTTAACTTTTATAATATATGTTTATTTAATACAACTTACCTGGTCATAAATTGCTGTCATGTGAATGGAATATTAATATATTTGTTTCTTGATGTCTTACAGTAAATAGACTACGTAACGTCGTCATTCAGGTGGGGGACGAGCTTTCCAGTTTAACAACTGTTGTTCGTCAAAGGGGTGGAATGGGTACAGTGTGCATGTTTAAACTGGAGAAGCCAATCAGAGGTCGCTTCGTGAAAGTAATGATGGAAGCAACAGAGTATTTACATATCGCAGAATTGGAAGTGTATAGTAAAACGAACAATTGAATTGATTAAAACGTCAAATTTGCTATTTCTAAATCAACTTGTGTTTTTTTTCTTCTCTTATTTCATTTCGAAATATGTTTTGTAATGTTTACTTACATCAACAAAGGTTGCTCTTAAAGATTGACTGTATACATTTGCTTTTATTGTTTCAAAATTAAGTGGAAAAATCAAATTGATTTTTTTCTTTTTGTCTCTTACAATTTAAAAGGATTCTAACTGACAATGCTTTTATTGAAATAATACTTTTCAATGAAAATATCATAATTTTTTCATTAAATTAGCTTTGTTAAAGAACTTGTAAGAAAGATGTTCATGTATTCAGGTAGATATTCTAAACAAAATTACAAATCAGTCGCCTTAATTATTCATATATCCTAATTGTATACATACCAAGTAAAGCTATTTTCGCAGTGGGACCAATTAACACAAATCATTAAACATTTTGTATTATACAATATATTTACATTTCTAATAAACCAACGTAAATATCTGTTTCGTCTTGAGTTATTTCTTAATTAAAACAATTGTGTATAAATAAAAAATATCGAAACATTAACTAATGATATGCTATTGTCATTAACAAGTGAGTTGTAACCTTACACTCAAGAAGAATAACAGGATTTTGATTGGTAAATCAAAGGTCTCTGCGAGCAGGGTAATTCACGTGGTTTCACCCCAACTATTGTTAGATACCCTCATCGATTTTGGCGCCAAAAACACAAACAACAAAAACATTGCATTTATCCTACAGGGCTTGACGGAACTTAGGAAATCGGCTCATTCCCTGCTTCTCTTCCTAACCTTTTTCAAATAACTGGTTCTGCTATACTCTCTGTTGTGTCACTTTAAATGAAATTTGCTACGAATGGTCTTCTGATATGAATGAATCTGGAACGGTATATCAAAGATGAAATAAAGGTTATCTGGAAGATATGCACAGTACCTTTACATTTATACCACTTTCATTTAAGCTGTGTTTATAGCTCGCTAAAAAACAGGTTTGTTGACGATCAGAGTATGCCAGTTTTCCATTTAAATAGGTCTTATATAAAGAATCACTGCCTCCTCGGTGTAGCATGTAAATGCAATTTGATGTTATCTGTTTCGTATTTGGACTAAATGTAATATATATTTTCCATCAGTTATACGCTGATTAATTAGTCTAAATGAGGCTTGATTTCGACTAAAGATGCACCCCAAAACCATTGGCATACAACAGCAACGTCTGTCAATATGGTTAAGTGAAAGAAATAGTTGCAATGCACGGTCTAACACATTCAATTACTGGATTTGAAGACAGAAACTCTTTTATATATGTGGAGGTAAATACTTTGAGGAATCAACATAAAAAAAAATCAGTGAAACCTATTTAGAATCAAACTTTGAGTGTTTAGATGTATAAACATTTGGAGATGTATTCGTATTTGGACACTCCTCTCACATGAAAACACACTTGGCTCTGATATATGTGATTGTGCAATAGTATAGAGATAATTGTAGATTATTTGAGATATATCAGTTAGGAGTTCACTTATTAAGTTTGTATTGGGGTGTCCGTGGCCGAGTAGTTAAGGTCGTTGACTTCGAATCGCCTCTTTGGTTCGAATCCCGACAGGGACTTTGGATTCTTTCATGTGACGAAATTACCCAGCTAACTTACGGAAAGTCGATAGTTCTACTTGGGTGCTCGTTCGTGCCTGATTTAATGCACCTAAGGACGTCAGCAACCATTTAAGCTAGAAAGTTACTAACTGGCCTATACAATGTATGTGTGACGAAAATAATAGGCGCAAACAACTACATGTTCATACCATAATGAAAAATTATTTTCATTAACAGTTTGTACAATGAAAGATTAAATTACAAATTTAACACGTATCTAAAATTATATAAGCCCCCGGAGATTGTTAATTGTATGCAATAAACGTCCACTTACATTATAAATAGCAGTTATTCCGTAAGTATTCATTTAAGACAGTACTCCGAAGGAAAGCAGCCCAATTTATTTTCCTTCTGCAGCATCATATTAATGTGTCGTTATTGTAATATTTTTTTAAGCCGATTCTATAATATACTCACATATTAGTCCCCAGTTGCTTAAACATAAAATTAAACATATAAATGTAATGTATTGGTCTATAACGGAAGAAAATATTTCCCGGGAAGAGGGTTTTTTGCGGGCATCAACGCTATAAGAAATGGGGCTTGGCATTCTTTTAGGTATCTCTCTCAAATAAATACAAGTACTTATGGAATGAATGAAATTTGTTTGATACTAAAGGGACGTTTATATAATGTATTATACAATGAAATAGAGTCCTCTTGTGACAAAGAAGTAAGTATATATACATATAACAAGTAAAAAATTTGTTGGAATATGCTGACCACGAACGGAATGAATGATATTTATATCATGAATACAGCGTTTATCAAATTCAAGTTGCAATAACATAAAGATAAATTTGAAATTTTATTTCATTTGCATCTGAAATATATATCATTGATAAATATACTTAATATTTCATAATTGAAGTGTCCGTATAAAGTGCCTGGCAAAACATGGGTTTCCTTATTTCGTTAAGTTTCAAGACAAATACCTGAACAATAGTTCACCAAAACCGGAATGTGCATGATATTTAAGCCAGATAATCATTTCTGCTTTACAAATGATCACATGGCACAGCCAGCGGAAGGTACAATCAAACCTTTCGGAGGAAACTTCAGGAGAAGAAAAAAAAGCAATGTGGATAGGGTAGAAATTTCTGCCTTTTATAATCCATGGAACTTTTATTACCTCTTTAACAACGATGACAATGGTTTAATACCGAACAATATCCTATTATCGAATCGACAAACGCGTGGACAGTAGTGGAAAACCATGTAACTGCATGATGAAACTATATCAGAGAAGTGGGAAGGCATCACGCCCAACTACGATGTAATAAGAACCGCAATCACAAAACCGCAATCAGACGTACCACTTTTTATGCTACATATAATTTAAAATTTTATACAGACGCTTAACGCGGTCAAGATTTAAGTATTTCAGCTACTTTTCTACTTTAACTAATAAAAGAAATATTTCACGTGAATGTCCATGCCATCACGTCTTCTTGTCACGTTTCTGCGTTTTTTAAATGATGCTTTATAAATGGCTTTACTTAGGACATTAACTCAAATAAAAGTTATTCTTTTTCTCTTTATTATACACATGGTCATTTGTTGTTAAACTACACTGTAAGAATGGATATTCTTGTCATAGAATGTGAATTACGATTATATTTTTCAAATCCGGTAAAAGCTTCCAATATATGAGTTAGGTTGATCTATGTACTAACCAAGACACACTTTATCTCCAATGTCACGTAAAGTAACAAAATAATATCGCAGCATTTTCTTGGTCTAAATCATCGTACGTTACCTTATCTTTAATCTTAACCCGTATTCTCGGGTAATGAAAGTAACATCGGAATATTACGAACATTACTTCGGTATTAAATGTTCCGCTTCTAAAACTCTAAAAAAGACATTTATGAGACTGTTGAAGTTCTCTGGATTCTGATACATATTCTTTCCAAATCACAAAATATTAACTAATGAAGTCCATAAAATCGATCGTTTAGTGTATTCGTAGCTTAACATCATATATTAGGAACTTTGTGCGTAGCTAAAGATACTTCAGCGAACAGGTTTTATAGTACTGCTAGACCTGTTCGCTGAAGCCAATCCCATATCGAAAGTCAACCAGAGCTGTGATATATTTATGTCATGCTGTAATTCAATCAATTTGCGTTATCTGGACAAAATCTGTTTAAATACAGGTAGTTAGATATATTTTGTACACTATAGTCTATATTTCTTAACAAAGAAGGGTAGATTGATGAAATAATGCCTCAAAGTTTATCAGTGTGTTTACATTTCATAAAATTCGTCGCCATTGCTGCCCTAATCATCACGTGACTTGCGAGAATTTAGGTTCGGATACCTTTGCATGACCCGTGACCCAAATGCTGTTTTCAGTTGAACACATGGCTTTGCAATTGTGAATAACGGTGTTTCTTTTGTTCAATAATGATGTTGTACCAATAACATTTTGGATTCATATTGCTTTGAGTGATGATTCATGAATTATTTCTATGTATTTATTTAGAATCGTTCAGTACTAAAATAAAGTATGGTCCGTTACTAAAATAGATGCTAGATTTCCCAAAACTTGAAGTCCCGCGAGATTTTATTTGAAAGCAGACTCCATATTGGTAAACAATCTCTGCATATTTCCCTAAAGAAAAGTTCGGTACACGATGTCATTGAAGTTTCATTTAAAAAAGCATGAATTGGTTCAAAATTGATTTGTTTATCAAATGGTATTTGACCCAAAATTGATTAGTAAGGGTGATTGTAACAGGTAATTATGTACTGCAACCAACCACCTGCCAAAATTCTGGTAGCCTTTGCAAAAAGGGTTGACCCATAACTTTACTGTCGCAAAACGTGAATATAAAAGCAACATATAAAGTTATGGAAGCCAGAACTACTTTGTACCATGAACACTATTGATTACCTAATTATACTCAACTGTTTCTGATCCTTAATGATCGTTCAGCACGACATTATTATTGTGCTTGTGGTAATTTAGTTCTTTCTTTATCGGCTGTTTTCTTGTTGGGTGGTTCATGTATTCCTCAATTGAATACTATTGAATCACCTTTAGGATATGTGGGCTGCTTTGTATATTTGTCTTTTGACGTCTAATTTGTGATATGCAGGCTTCATAGCATCTGATCCTATGTCAAAATTCCATTTTATTTTGTTCTGTCTATTGCTTTCTTGTTTAGGGCACACGCATTTTATAACTTGGGGACCATATACCGCTTTTCATGGAATGGCACTTACGTGTCACATTGAATGTTCAATGATAACCGCCATCTGCGGATGTTTTAAAATTCAAAATTGTACAAGTTCATGTTAAATGTTGAGTTCTGCTTAAGTCGGTGCTAGTGGGGCGTGGGCGGTAGTTTGCACTTGACGGTACCGCCCATGAACAGGCTCAATCAAACCGAGCCTGCAACATTTTCAATTTTGCCGTGTTGGGCTTTTTTTAGGGATTCTTATTTTCTCTATTTCATGTGCTTTACAAACAAATACATCTTTTTCCATTTTGTATCAATTGTAATGGTGATAACAACTATTGATAAATAATGAACATTGTATTTGTCACAGACACTTGGGGTTTGGAGCTCAAAACGCCTTTAAAATCCAAATAAAATGCATATTTGTCAATCCCAGCACATGTACTGATCATATATATCAAAAAAACTTAATATAAGCCGTTTTGAAAAAATTTCATATTTCAACATCTATAATAATACACAAGATAAAAATGTTCGCCCGAAAAAATCCGCACACCTACCTTCGTTTACACCTTGTATTTTATTCAATTTCCAATATTTTCACATAATCCTTGTGGTCGTTGACGCATTACACATTATA